TTGGTCGGAAGAAGAGGGGGGAAGCAATGCTTCCGCCATGGCATGGGGTTTGGGATAACGACTTAGTGGCCTGCCCAGTGGCGCCAATCCGTCTGTCAGGGGGCATAACTCCTCCCAGAGGCCCTACGGGTCCACGCAAAGCCAAGGAATTGGACTCATCTAAATCGGACTCTTCGCTGGAATTTGACGCTAGGCTCCTAGCACCCAAGCCGCTTTGCTAGAGCTGGGTCGTCGCATCTGTCTGCACGGGGTAATTTGTTACTTTCCGCTCAAGGCTCAGTGTGAAACACACCGACTCCATGAATCAAATAGCCGCGGCTATCTGTCGATAAATCAAAGACTCCGATGGAGAAACGGCACGTGCCGAAGTAATGGCCAAGCGACCGGATGAAGCCTGCCTGCTGGGGTGGGTTCTTCGCCACCGCACGGGGTTGAAATCTACCTATTGTCTTTAGCTGGATCACGTCCCAAGGTTCTTAAACCATGTTTGCAATCGGACCTCAAAATATTTACTTTTGAATATCCAATGAGCGGCGATAATAAAGTGACGGCCTTTTCAATTTGTGACGTATACATGGAGGAGCTGCGATCTGGTGGCAAATGTGAGAACTATCGAACAAGGTGGATTTAATACCTGTAAATGCATGTCGCAAAGATGCATGGGTTGTTATGTGTATTCCGGTATGGAGTACACATACCAAGCTTCTTGGAATGTGCCAGACGGCCCAATCCTTGCAAATAAGAAGATAAAACTCTTCCACGCTGTATTGTATATGTAAAAATCTTATTTTCGTGTACATCTGATCTGATCTGTGCTTAGGTGTGACGTGTTCTTCGTAATATTTCACCCTTGATATCATCTTTGCAGAAAGAGCATATGTGTCGGTTAAAATTCTGCAAAGAAACATGATTGACTGTTTCACAGGTCTTACAGTTTCAAAGTCTTGGATGAAAGTGCGTGTAATGGATTTCACAGAGTTCTTATTCATTAGGTTTTGTGATTGTTTATTTGCTTTAAAGAAATTACTAATGCAATTCATTTTGAAGCCATGGTGTCGAAAATGGACGAGTCCGTAGGTCGAGTGGTGGAGGCGCTGTATGAGAAGCGAATGCTGAATAATTCTATCATAGTTTTTATCTCCGATAATGGCGCACCGAGTGTCGATATCTTCCAGAACTGGGGTTCCAACTATCCTCTCAGAGGGGTGAGTGTTCTGCTTTTCGTAGTTTTGCAGTTAAGGGACAATACGCCTCAAACATCTGCCTACTTCTGAACGTGTTGTTACCAACAGAGCGTTACGTGTCTAAAGTGCATGTAACTGATAGATATTCGTGTTTAGTTCTTTCATATCAGAGAAAAATCCTCTTGTGTGGCTTGTAGTGCGCTGCCGGACCACTAAAATTTGAGCAATGTAAAATAAATTATTTTGCTGTGTAACACAACAGCTGGGTTATTTTTTAAAATACCTTTAGCATTGCAGTATGATTGTTCCGGGGAGGATTTAATGTTACTGCATTTCCACATTACCTGATGTCTAGACTAGCATACGTCACAGTTTCATACCCCAGGAATTTTAGTCAATATTATGTTGGTTCTTCTAGGTCAGTACGTCGAGGTGCACTCCATATTATGAGCTGATACGTATACTGTTTAGAGTTGCGCTACTTCACCATGTTTATTGTGTCCTTCACATAATGCAGAGCGTAAAATAACAACATCCTACGCAAAATGAAAAAAATGCTAGTGTATAATCTGTCCACTGAGGAGCGTCATAATTTGTACTCTAGAGCAAATATTACTCACCTGTCCGGCTATCTTTTGCAGAACACTTGAAAGCAATTTGGACGTTTCGGCTGATTACTAGCCAGTTAGCCACCCAATTTATTAAGTTATTTTCAGAAGTTCTGGCTCTGCCATCAACTTGACGAGCTACATAGTACCGTTGCTCTTTACAGATCAAGGCAACATTGTGGGAAGGTGGAGTCCGAGGTGTCGGGTTGATATGGAGCCCCCTCTTACGGGAACCACGTCGTGTTTCTGAAGAGGTAAAAGGATTGTATTATTTATCCCAAAGGAATGCTCTTCCTGTGTTTATACCCTGTCGAGGACGCAGAAAGACGTCCCGTGGGAGATGAAATGGCGCTTCTCGAGGTTACATCCTTCTTGTCTCTCTGCTGTTCCTTGGCCTGTATCAGCCAACCTAAAGAAAGCGTTTGCCATTGCTCAAGGTACAAAAGTAACTTTCTGCAAAGAGAATAGCTGGAAGGCTTCAGAGAAACAAGGGAGTTATCGCTGGAGGGAGGTGGGAGCTTAACAGTTGAAGAAAGTTGTCGAGGCATCAAACCTGATCTTTACCCGTGGCCTCAGAAGAGCTAGGTTCACGTATGATTTAAGTTAACAAATGCATTTGGAACTTCGGCATCCCTTTTCCATTCAAATAAAATTTGCTTGGTTGGAAATTATTTGATACAGAACAAACAAAATTATAATGACTTGTGATGCACATTTTTAAAATAAAACGTCTGACTGTGTAAGAACTTGTCGTTCAGAAAGAATGACAACACTGTCAAAGAATGATTTATTTAAGATTAAAATTCTGATCTGTCTGCAATCTGCCCTGACTGTCCTCTCACTAATAGGTTTTTCTCTTAAAGCTTAAAAACTACTAGTCTTTAACTACATTCTAGGAACTTCTGAGGTCATTTTGATCTTTGAGGACTGTACGAAGATATCGGATGCCATGTTTGTAAGAAGGCATCTTCATCTATTTCTGGGAGGGGGCAGCTGCGAAAATCTCAGAGAAAATCTAGTAGGTGGGATTTTTTTCCGGAGCCCGACAAGGTTACGAGCATTAGATGAGTGCAGCCACGAATAACTTTTTCTTTGCTAAAAATAAATAATATCCCGAAATGTTCCATCTGACTTTTGATAGGTATCATTAGAACGAAGTCCGAACTCTGCCAGGACCTGAACATGAGACGCAGGCCCATTCCAAGGACCCGGTATTATTTCGGTGAACATTAATATAAATTGTCCATCACAAACACGATGTTCAACAGTGAGAAACAAACACAAAACTGTTTTTCGATAGTGAAATATGCAGTTAAACGTTATGACTGCCCTGTATTTTTGCGCATTTCAAGTGTCTCTGTGTGACAGTGGTCACAGATTTTGTGGAATGGAATTAGAAAGCTCTTCCAGTCGAGCCGCCATTTTACTGTCAGTCATCAGTTGCTCTCCTCTGATCACTGTTGTAGTTAAATCACGTCTTGCGCATGCTACCAGAAAATTGCAGTTAAGTTTAAATTTCCGTATTTAGTTTATTTTCCTGTTAAATAAATATTTTAAATCGCTCAAATCATTTGTGTTTACCGAATATTTAAACATACAAACATGACGCATAATTACATCTATCCATCTCCACCCAACCAGCACTCTACTTGGTGTCAGCCCATGTTTCGACTGGTTTCAATTTACATTCCTGTGTAATCTTTACATGACTGCTAATGCACATGTATGACTCTTTACACTCTACAGCTTTAACTTTCAACTTGTCTTTCTGTTTGTCTCAGCTGATGCACGTGTCCGATTGGCTTCCGACACTATACAGCGCTGCTGGTGGAGACATTGTCCATCTTGGCAGTAATCTGGATGGAGTAGATCAGTGGAGTAGCCTCGTCAATAACGAAGGATCACCCCGACACCAGCTTCTTGTGAACATCGACGAAAGAGATCAAACTGCAGCCCTCAGAGTTGACAACTGGAAACTGATTTTAGGTGGGTATCCAAGAAATTACGCAAATGCAGAAACATAAAACTTCTAAGTAAATCTCATTCTATGTATTAAACGTTCTTCTAAATTCTGAATCATACGATATATATAGGACATTTAATTAACAAGCATCAGAAGTGAATATTCCAAATTACAATATAGAGCTTAAGTTTTTCAGACTTTTCATCACAGAATTTTGATACAGGAACTGAGAATATACAGTGTAACGTGACTGAGAACATAAAATCAGAGTTCTTGCACGCTACACTGTTTGTCCAAAGCTTATGTTTTCCATAGAAAGAAGTAATTCCTTTCCTTGTGTTGAATATGAAGACATTTTTCCATTGCAGACAGATCAGTAGTGTTTCTTTCGGTCTCTGTCCAGAAATATACAACTAAATGTAATTTAATGGAGAATATGCTCACTTCCGTTAAATGCTTACCTCGCAGGAACGTTTGGAAAAAATGGGTCACTGGATGGATATTATGGAGACGATGGGTATAGCTCCTCAAACCCCAAATACAACATCTCATCAGTTATCAGCAGTCGAGCTTGGAAATCCATTTCGTCAACCACAAGGCCCGCCACAGATCGTGAAGTGCACAAACTACGCCAGGAAGCAACAGTTAAATGTAACAATAAAGTATTTCGTCACGGCACAAATTGCAACCCTTCAGTGAGCAAGAGGCCTTGTTTGTTTAATATTTATACAGACCCTTGTGAAGAAAATAATTTATCAGTGATCAACACAGATGCTACTAAAAAGATATATAATATTCTTCTGAGGCACATACAGTCTCTCATTCCTCAACTTAACAAGCCTTGGGACACGACTGGTGCTGATCCCACAAAATTTAACAACACTTGGAGTCCTTGGGTTGACTGAATAAGGAGAAGCCTACAAGTGTATTATGTTTTCTTATGTCATGGCAGATGTTTCTTGTCGCCAGATTTGTATTTGATGTTACACAGCCAATGACTTAGGAAATTTCTGAAGTCCAACAAATACCATATGAAAGAGAGAAATAAATTTTACATGTAGGATGTGTTCTCAATGCTTCCAAATTTGAAAATCTTACACTCTTATGTTTATGTGTTGGCACAGAGGAGTACTGCGTACATCAACAACCGGCTGTTTCTTTTCAAGTAACGATAACTGAATTAGAAATGTGATTAAAGTAATTTTAATATGCTTCATATTCTTCCATCTTTTATGTGTTAGACACTCCTGGCTCTTTCAAGCGCTGGATTCACTTCTGAAAATTCTAATTCTCTCATAGTTAACTAACAAGACTTCTTTGACAGGGGAAAAACCCATAAAAAAGCTTCTACAGGGGAAAAGAACTCTAAAAGTGTGATATGAACACAGATGTTACACGCCTACGTGGTGGAACAATCCAGAAGATTACGATTTAAATGCACGTCACACAAGAATTCCAATAATTTGACCAAGATATTATTGAAGATATGAAATCGTGCAACAGTTTTTGATTTTGTACATTTGAATTTTCTCACATTACAGAAACAACTTTTGAAGTTCACGCAATTTACTTTGTGGCCACATTCCAGTGGTTTCTGCTCTTGCTTTCATTACCAGTGCTGTACCACATTCACCTACAGTAATAAATATTATTTAGTTTTATAGAGAGAATGTCATTAGGTATCACCGATTAAGGACGTTCACCCAGCCTTGACATAATGACTGCTGCCAACCTCACCTTCTGAATTCAGTTCACGTAGCTGTCATTGAGATTCAATGCCCTGCACCGAGCCTACTGGATTAATTTAGCTGTGATCACCATCTACCTCATGTTCAGTGATATACCTGAATGCCCCTGGGATCATCCAAATAACTTTGCTTAAGGTACGCGTAACCTCCGTAGCATGGCATTACCCACCACCCGATGAGTCAGAGATTTCCAGTCAATATTACCGCCATTCAGGCGGTGCTGAGATAGACCTCCATAATTTATCGGGAGTAGAACCAAAAGCCACAGTTGTATTCCATGGGAGTCCCCCTATTGTGACCCAACTGGTCATCCACTTCATTTCAAGGTAAGCTTTGCTCAGTGATATAATTTTCGTAAAAGAGTTAAATTATTTTTTGTTGGAAGAAGGGAATAAGTAGCAGATAGTGAATATTGAGGTGATAAAAATCCCCATTTTGGAACATTATTTTACCTTTCGATTGTTGTGAAATCAGTGGAAATAAAATCCACTTAGTTGAAAAGCGGTTACAAACATCACTTCAGAAAATAACACCTATAGGAACAAGTGAATGCTACACTAAAGGATGTTATAAGTAGAAAATCATTGTAATTGTTTGCTCGTTAATCTCTTCCACAAATTGAGACACATGCTGGAAATTGTCTCTGTGATGGAAAAGATACGGAAGACTTTTCTCGCTGCACCTTGTGGCTTGCCCAAGCGTCTTTCAGAACTACTATTTCATCTCTTCTCGGAGGGAGAAAGCGTGTTCTATACTCTTATAAATAAATTATGTATATTTTCACACAGTAAAACTTCATATTCGTTCATAAATTCAGACTGTACAACTTAAAGCAATTCTAAATTAGTAACAGAGAAGCGAAATTAGCACAGTTATTTGGACTTAATTAATTCATAAAAAATCAGACTTAATTGTCACGGAGAATCAGTGGCTATGCCCAGTGCGTGTAATGAAGCTCACATTATACCAGAGCATCTGACTTCTTATCCTGTAGGTGGCCTAGGCAACACGGAGTTTTCCTCATTGGCATCCCAACAATTACTCCATTCGCACACAGAAGAAGTCAATGGCAAACCACTTCTGGATCATCTGCCAAGAACGTATATGAACAGGTCCCAGTCCGAGAAAAGGATGGAAGGATCCTGTTCATATGGACCTGTCGTCAGACAGAACACTAAATAAATAGCTTGCCAGCGTCAGCAACCAGCAGTGCAAAGTCCTGAATTTTATTTCTTCTTTCACGAACATTCCTTCAGAAACAAAGATTTCCAACTGAGTGACCCACCCGAACAACCAATTCCGTGAGAAAATCACGTTGCCTTTCACTACCTAACCTAAATCGAACCTCTGACCAGTTGGGCAGTCTCAACAAGATGGATGGGGTAGACGGTTAGAAAATAATATACCGGATTAGGACGGATTGTATGGATTTACGACCCAGGCGAAGTTTAAAGGACCTGAGAATTGGAACGTGGAATGTGAGGATCCTATATAGCAAAATGGATGGAGTTGGCTCAGGATCGTGATCGGTGGCGGACTCTAGTGCTGTCGGTGTTGACCCTGCCGGTTCTGCTACCACGGAGTTAGTTATCATATACCGTAATTACGGTAATAACATTCTGAAACAGGCTATACTAGAATCGAAAGCAAGAATTAAACAATGTAACCTGATCTCACAACGTAAAGCACATCCCACTTTTTACTCGTTTGTAAACTTATAAACTTCGACAAGAAATATGTAGTGCAGCAGAAAATAGGGCTTTCTGAGTTTTACACGGAGCTCCTTGTTGAACACGTGCCTGTCAATAATACACGAAAATAAGCATTTATATTGGAAATGTAATTAGCAATAGAATTTGTCAGAAGCTGAGCTCATCTGTGAACGGATCACCTTATGCTGAACTCTCGCTTGGATAATTAATGTAATCAACGCGATTGTCGTTCTGTGAAAATAAACGGCACTAGAGCTCTTCTGTAGCTTGAGTTAACAATTTTTCTAGGTATCTGATGCGCGTGAAATGTACGTAATTGTGAGAAACGTTTGATTAACGCCTATGGGAATGAATTAAAACAAGTGTGTAATGTTTTCGAAATGTGACTTTAGGTGTTCTTTAAATACTTTTATTTACCCACCTCCATCTATTTAGTCCCGAGGTCAGGAAATAGCAGAGCTAGAACTGTACGACCCCATACGTCTTCATGGAACGAACTCAATCGGTAGAAAACTTACCTTTTCCTTACCCTCAGTTTTACCTTAAAAAGTTGATCAAATTTAAAAGGATAAATTGGTCGGGGCATGGAAGAAACGTGACATGCGTACAAAAGTTTTGGTTGGAAAATCTGCACAGAAGAGAGCACTTCGAAGACCTAGGCAGAGATTAAATGATAATATTGGACTGGATCTTAAGATACAAACCAATGACGAGACCTTGTGAACACGACAGTTAACCTCAGGGTCCTATAAAAGGTGACGAATTTTTTTGTACTTACCATGGGCTGTCAGAAATCACCCACGGTTAAGAGACAAGGACTTAAGCTCAGAAGGTCACTCGAAGCTGTCCCTGAAAAGGCGACTTGCAGTGTCTGACACTACTCGGCTAACATGACTGAGTTTCTCCGTGATTTTCCTCAGTTCTAAGGCAATTTCCAGGGTACCATTAAAAAGGCCCCTGACCGTCTATCCATAAACACAGGGGTGTTCTGCCAAAATGACCTCAGCCGTTCAGGGTCCCAGACGTCCATTTAAAATAAGTCCTTTTCACGAAGGAAAAATTGTATGATGGGGTCATCCTTTCATCAGTGCCAACAGCCCCTAATCTGAATGTGTGGAGGCCTTCAGCCAAGAGAATAATTATTCCTAGTTATAGTTACAAGGTTCTGTTTATCAATTCCAGCGTTTCGTAAACAGGAATGGTTAAACGTGGCAAAAAACAACGTCTTCCTTTCGCTCAAGAATTCGTCCTTTGTTTCCTTCTGGTGTAATCTGTGGTTAGCTTTTCATTAGTTAGGTTTTAGCAGCTGAGCAGTTGCTGTATGGAGGTAGTGCAGTACAAACTACAGGTAACATCATTCCAAATTATTACTTGCTCTATGGCCACGTAGAACATTTGTTAGGGATCCTCCTCCTATTACAAATAAATTTGCTTATCAGAAAGAAAAAGATGGTTATAATATTTCGCGTCAGGAAAACTGAGTTCAAAGAGTTAGATTTCGGAAATTATTGCTTTCAGTTTCTGGAGCCAAAGTGTTCCAACACTGCAGTATCGTCGCGTATTTTTCTTAACACAAGAACAAAGTAATTGTTTTCGTCGACACATTTATTCGCTCAATAATTAGGGCGTAGCTCGAGTCCACAATCGCACTTGATCGCTGCAGTTGACTTATTCCTAAGCGACAAACCACATCCTGTCATTTCTGCTTCGTTCTTCCTTCACGTGTCAAGACTAACCTTATTTCTACGTCAGTTTCCGTACATTGTTATCGAAAGATATTCATGTAGTTGTTCTCTTTTCAGTAGCAGTCTACTGTAGAGTCAGAGTTGTCCAAACAGTGATATGCGGGCAGCTGATGGTCCGCAGATTTAACTAGTTAGATTTATGTGTATTTCGACGGCAAGAAACAAATTCTGTGGAGCTGAGTACATCTCGGAGAAACAATAATCTCTGAGGTAGCAAGACACCGGCTGCCTTTTCATAGAATGTTTATTCCTTTGTTCCCAAGAGCCCGCTACTGTTCTCTATCCTAAGCCAGATGAATCCAATATATACTGGCATATTATATGTAAGACCCACTTTAATAGTATCATCTCATTTCCGCCTAGGGTTTTCCTCTTTGCTTTTCCAGACTAAAATTCTGTATTTATCATTTATCCCGTACGCGTTCAAGCTGTTGCATTTAATTCTCCTTGTTTTCTACTACTGCCTGCTGAAGAGGAGACATTATGATAGTTTTCACTGTGCACTTTTCTTCAGGATATGTTTTCGTTTCAGCAACTCTGTTGTTTAAATGTCTACAGTTGTGAGTTCGTTTGTAAGCCAACCCGTGTTAAAACACAAAATCCTTGGAAGACGGACATTTCTGAACATTTCTTTTACTTTATGCCATATAAAGTCGTTAATATCTGTAGACCTGTTGGAAATTAACATATTTCGTTTAGTATTATATCAGGAATAAGATTTATAGACTGAGGCAAATAGGGTGCCGGCTCGTGACACTGGGACTGTGAGGCAGGGAATCTTCAGTTCTGCGATTTCAAGAATATTGTAGCGTGGGACGGTATACGACCTTGATTGTCAACCCTTGATTTCTTCTGGAGTCTGCTACCTCAAATCCGATCCGATTGTAAACTTGGTTGGATTGTAAGAGACCACGATGTCCTCCAGCAATAATGAATTTAATCAAACTAAAATGCCTTTTACAGCACAAAATAATCTCGTCTACAACAACAACACACTTCGTGTCTCTGCTCTCTGCACACACACACACACACACACACACACACTCTGTCCTCCGAATCTATCTGGTCCCGTAGCACCCCACTGGACAAACGCTGGCTCCTCGGCCGCCACGGTCCACGTACCCGGTGCTCGCTCACGCAGCCGACCTGTCCATACTCAGCGTCGGCCCGTAGCACCCCACTGGACACACGCTGGCTCCTCGGCAGCCATGGTCCACGAACCCGGTGCTCTCACGGCACACTTCTCTTACGCCCGATTCACACTCCCTTTCCAACAACTCTTCAACACTCTCCCTTTCCAACCACTCTTCAACAGTGGCAGATGATGTCATCGTCATTGGTCGTACATTCCGGGAGCACTTGGATAATCTGAGGGAAGTGCTCCACACCTGCTTGGTCTACCTGGATGATGTCATCGTCAATGGTCGGACATTCCGGGAGCACTTGGATAATCTGA